TATTGGGCTTATTTGTGCAAATTCAAATTCTTAAACAGAAAGCTACACTTTCTGACAAATATACTCACATACCTAAAATCACTCCTTGCTTAATTTTTTTCCTTAAAAGCTGTCTCTCTGAAAGCTTCAGGTACCATCACTTCCAATTTCAGAACACACATACATAATTAAATCATTACATTCTGCTTTTCTTCACATTGTAATTCTCTGGTTTGTTTCAGTTGCCTTAATCCTAGTGTATAAACAGTATCGATGGGACTGAACTCTCTCTTGAGTAACAAGGAATGTTTGAGGTCTGTTTCAAAGGAGACTCTAATACAGCCTGAAGGGGATCCCACCAGACCTCTCTTCTGCATGCTCAATCTGTGTGTTGACAGCTGGACTTGCTGTGTAATTGCTTTCTAAACTGCCAAACTAAAGTGTCTTAATTTAGTGGGGGGGGGAGTAGAAAAAGAGAGATGGGATTAGCAGTTAAAATAGGAAAAAAAACCCTATCCAGCAGGTCTACAGATATATATTTTTTTTACCATTTTTAAAAATGAATGAAAAGAACATGCATTGACTTTAAAGCCTACTAATTGTGGTTCACTAAAGGTGCACTCCAATACAACAGTGGCATCACTGTGTGTGTGTGTGTGTCTGTCTGTGTGTGTGTGTGTGTGTGGTGGTGCAGCCCACAATGGGTGACACCCCAGAAAGGAGGTGACACCTGGTCAGTCCCTCTCCCTACGTTCCCCAGTGCACACGCTCCATGCCATCCCCACATGTGTTCCTTCTCCACACTTCCCCCATGCACCATCCACATGCATGCTCTGTCTCCACGCTCCACCCATGTACCATACCTGCATTTGCTCCCCCCTGCACACTGTCCTGTCCTTTTCTTCATCAGAAAAATGACAGGGCAGCACAGGGGATAGGAGTGTGTGACACCCCCAGAAGCCCCACCCTGCACACCAGGTGTAATTTGGATGCCACTGCAATACATCCCATTGCAGTCAATGCAATTTACACCAAGTAACACATCATAAGGACCATAGTCAAGGTCTTTGGGCTTGGGCTGATGAGAACATTTGTCCTGGGTTCCATGGCTGATATAGAAAGCGTCAGAAGGTACTCACCATTAGAGCCAGTGTGGTGTGGTGGTTTGAGTGTTGGCCTACAATTCTGGAGACCAGGGTTCGATTCCCAGTTCAGCCATGAAACCCAATAGGTGACCTTGGACAAATCACATGCTCTCACCCTCAGGGGAAGGCAATGGCAAGCCTCTTCTGAACAAATCTTGCCAAGAAGACCCCATGATAGGATGACCTTAGGGTTCTCATAAGTTGGAAACATCTTGAAGGCACACAACGCACACACACATGCATACACACTTGCTATTCATGGAAGGTCCTGTTACTATATTTCACAGATCATATTTAAGTTCATGTTTTTAATCTGTTGAAAATCATCTCTTTGCAAATCAAGCCATTTGGCACAAGTGGTTTGCTAGAATAGCAAAGATACCACAGCTATATACTGAAATAAGCTACTCTCAGTAACTGACTCTGCAAAATCATTGTCTGTTTAGAAATGTAGAATAATTGTGTTAATAGGGAAAATGCCACAAAAACAAAATAGAATTAAAGCATCAACTGGAATTTCCTTAAATTATTAAATATGTTATCTAAAAAAATCACAACTTAAAAACTGTTTCCACTAGATTACCTAGCACATAACAAATTTAAAACCAAAGTTCACTAGAAAGATACATACATGACACACACTGGGAATTATGTGTTCAGATTTATTTCTAAAGCTTCACCACATGGATCCCTTCAATTATACTCTTATGGTCTGAAAACTACAGTTAGTACAAAACATGGCAGCCAGAGAGGTTTCTGGAACATCTAGGAGGGACCATATAACTCTGGTTTTAAGGTCCCTCCACTGGCTGCCTATTAGTTTCCGGGCCCAGTATAAGGTGTTGGTTATTGCCTTTAAAGCCCTAAATGACTTGGGTCCAAACTACCTTTGGGACCACCTTCTCCCATACAATCCTCCCCGGGCGCTTCGGTCCTCTGGGAGGAACTTGCTTCAACCATTGAAATCTAGGCTTTCTGCTACCTCCCAGATGGCATTCTCAATAGTCGCCCCCAGATTGTGGAACAGCCTGCCAGATGAGATCCTCTGATTACATCTCTAAACAGCTTTAAAAAGACGGGTCTCTCTTCCGGCAGGCCTTTCCAGAATAGATGTTCCAGCCTCAAGAAATTCCTGCTACTCGGTCCTCTCCCCAATTATGATT